GACGCTCGTCACTGTACGGTCTTAGACCGTTCGGTTTTCCTTAAAATAATTTAGATGGAATTCTTTCATTTGGAAAGAATTCTGCTCGAGAACGAGCGTCCCATTTGGATGTCTGAGCGTTTCGTTCAGCTCAGCTGTTTATAAATATTTGAAACTTTATAATAACGTAACGCTCGGTCCTTTAACCGAAGCGTTCGCCCTTATAGGCGTTCGGCCTTCTGTCGAGCGTTCCGTCTTGATAAGCGTTCGACCTTAATTCGAGCGTTCGTTTTCGATAGCGTTCGCTTAAGTCGAGCGTTCGTCTTGATAGCGTTCGACCTTAGTCGAGCGTTCTTTTTCGATACGTTCGGCCTTACGTCGAGCGTTCGTCTTTGATAAGCGTTCGGCCTTATGTCGAGCGTTCGTCCTAAATATGCGTTCGGCCTTATGTCGGCGTTCGTCCTAAATAAAGCGCTCGGTCTTATAACGAGTGTTCGTTCTAAATTGCGCAATGTCTCAGACAAGCGTTCGTTCTAATTGAATAATCATTTGATAAAACACGTTACGTCCAAAGTTTAAATATTCAATTTTCTTTACGTTCGTTAAATTCCTGGCAGTGGTTTTCATATGCAATTCTCTTCAAAAATAATTCTAAGTGTTCTTGATCCTCCATGTGCATTAATCTGGTGCGAGTTTTTATCCAAATATTTTTCTAAGTCCCAGTAACTTCAAAGTTGAGTCAGTTCATTTAATTGGTCAAACAGAAAGTGTCGTTCGTTATATATTTTTACTGATTATCCAGTAACTTCATTTGGACGTTCGTCCTCACCCTTCATTGACTTGACGTTCGTCATTTTTGACTCCTGAATCTAATGATGTAAAAGATGATGGAATATGGTAAATTAAATGTGAACACTATGAAGAACTGAATTATGATGTTGGATTTTGGACGATGCGTTCCAGGGAGGAACGTCTCAATATATATATATTGAAGATTGAATTGGTAAGTATGACTATGGTTAGCTAATGCTGGCTTGGTCCATCCTGATATTCCGTGATGCTCATCTTCACGTAGAAGGGAGTAGTCATGTGTGGGAATGGCAGAGGTCTTTCGTATCCCTCCACTTAGCAGGGGCGAAGGATTACCTCGAGTGGCACTGTTTGAGGGTATCCCAGTTCTACATCACTCGGGTGCAAGGACGCCTGTAGCTACATGGTTCATACAGTCCGGACAGTCGTCTATTATATACTTATAAATTACTATGTTTGGATTATGTTTAATTGTATGTTGTGCGTGTGCATTTAAAATGTTGAATGTATATGTTGGATTAGAATTAAATATTATAAGCTTACCCTTTCGTTTCATTGTGTTGTCAACTTGTCCATGTAACGTTCGTCCTGTCTTGCAATGATCATCCGTTGTGGATGTGAGCAGATGGTGGTACGTCCCTTGAGAAATACTGGAAGAAGAAAATTTGGAAGAGGCGAATCTAGTTGGAGTAGAAGTGAAGGCCGAGCCTTAGAGCGCTCGATAGATTAGAATTATGAATTGTTAGCTTAGTAGGACGTTCGGCTAAATATTTAGTAAAGCCGTTCGTCCTAATTATCCCTGAACCCTATTTTAAGCGTACGTTATTTGTATCTAAAACCGTTCGTTATTTAGCGCTCGTTGTTTTGAGTTGTATATGAAACTCTGCAAACCTTAAGACCGTTTGGCTTTTGAACTTGGTTAATTGTAAAGACTGCTTATTTACTGTTAATTGTAATTAATTCTAAATTATGGTAATTACTATATTTTGGGATGTTACAACTGGTCATTCACAAAACTTTACTCCTATCCCAATTTAAAAACTAAAACGCAAAT